GTATTTTACCCCCGAACGCGATTTTTACTGGGGGACCCCCTCGAAAGCAATTGGGCTATTTTCAGGCTAGATTTGTGTAGTAATTGGGCGGGTTTTGTAGCGAAAACCTAGCAACCCTGCACCAGACAGAGCTGTCGGCGATTCTTCCTATTGTAAAGTCATGCAGTGTGTAACCTCCTGTTCTTTTTCACGTTTCCTTGGTTGGTAGATGCACCGAGGACCCGATAATAGCACTTAAAACCTGGAAAAGTTAGATTTTCATGATATGTTACCTTTAATGGTAGTATATATTAAAATTATATACAAAAATTCTAACAAAATGAACATGCAATATACTGTACATAGATATATAAAAATAAAGATCAATATAAAGCTTGGGGAACAGTGTAAAGATCATTCAACTCCTCACCAGTATAAATTTAGACAGGTAAATTAGTTGAATGAATTTGCTGAGAACATCTAAGAATGAGGTGGCATGTCATTAACAATCAAACCCCAGCCTGCTCCCCTTCAAGATTTAGAGGATTTTGTCTTAGCTTCATGCAGAATGTAGTGGGTGCACAAATGCACATAGACACAATGCCACTGGTGCCGACTTGCTTTGTGGCATCAGTTTCCTGTACGCAGAGGCGTTTTATTAACAGTTACATAGTTCTATAATTTGACTGGAGATACTGCACAGCTGGGTGGTGGGCAAGAACCAGAGAACGAAGGAAGAGTGGATGGTGTGGCTCTAAGACTTAAGAGATATAGCAGCGGGTTGTGACAATAGGGAAGAATGTAATCAAAGCGCAAATGAAAACAGACGAGATGGTGGGATGACAGGAAGAGTGGAAGCAGCAGGGTGCTGCACGAAGGTTTGCGGAGGAATGCTTTAACAGATCCCTGCCATCAGACGCTAACAGTGTTTAAAGGGGAATCGGGCCGTGCCATTGGATGCCTGGTTGCCATAGGGACGACGAACAGTGACAAATTGTAGAGCTTTGTAGCTAATGGAAACATTGCTAGATATTTAGAGAAAACAACATATCACAACAGTTCACAGTATAGCCACATTTTTCTGTCCTTTCAGACAAATATTGTTTATATGCTACAACAACAGCCAGGAACAAAACAACCATGATTCATGGAGCACGTGTCTGAGCTGTGAATAACAGTTCTGCCTCTTAAAGTGGCTGTTAGGATGCGAGGAGAGAGATGGAAGATTAGCAGACCCATACAGATGTGTTGTGCCTCAGTGTTTCCTTCAGAAATTTGTGCCCCGTACAGCCAATAACTTGAAGTTTAAGTGCGCAAATCAAATTTTTCGACAAATTTAGTTTATTCAATGAAAGATTTGTCAGAATGTTTGTAAAAATTATTTTAAATGATTCTTGAAAAGAAGCGAGTCACGTATTAGTGATTCGGACAACACTGGTCGAGTTTGTTTTTGCGTGCAGTCAGGAGAACAACTTGTTTTCTTGCTATAATTTTGCAGCAATCCATCATATCCCATCACATTTCATTCAGACTGCCAGCTCATATCTCAGATAAAATATAATTTTGTGGTGGCGGTGTAGATTTAACAGCATATTTTTAGATTCAGCTTGAAAGCGCTGCAGGAAACACTGGTGCGTGTATAGGAGAGCGAGTCTTATGCACATTAAAAGCACATGCTGTGAATCGACGGGTTCCTGCTGAAGAGCAACTCTTTTGATGAAGGCCATTCAATTTGATTATTCCTGGAATGAAATCTGGAAAATAATTCTGTGCACACAACCTCTGTATCTTCCTATAATATCATGCTTTTCTATCATGACAAAGGACTAGAAAATATAACTCCCAAGTTTTCTACACATTTCCTCATGTGGTTTGCTTGATCATTCAAAACAGTTGCTCTTATATGAAGTCACATAGTTGTGACATTCACTGCTATTACAGACATGCTTTGTTTCAGTGGACTGTTTACTGTTGATAGTAGGAAGTCAAAGAAAAAAACCATGCTCATTTAAAGGCAGCAAGATGTAAAAGATAAGACGTTTAGTTTAAGTTAAGATTATTTCGGGGGGAAAAAACACCCAACCTCCATTTCCTGCATTGCGATGTCATCATCAAAGGTAAGTGCAGATATGAGCAAACGCACAGGAAAAAAATACAATAAAATCAAACATCATAAATAATAAAATTTGTCACTTAGACAATAAGATGTGATAGAGGATACGTGGGTGCATGGCACATATTTAGCCTAAATTAAGCACTCAGTAGGGGCTAGATCCATTTGATGTGATTAATTTTATGTTAGGTAATAGTTTATGTAACATATCTAGTGTCTTCTGTAAAGAAGATGGGATTTGTGCACGTATTGCTTTAAAGAAAATTAATGAAATACAGAATAATGAAAAATAATGAATAATGAAAATAGCTGAATATGCTGATTAACTGATGAAAAATAATTATAACTGTATAATATATTAATAATTTAATTATCTCTTGGATGCATATTCTGCTACAGGGAATGAAGCATGCCGGCGTACACAATTCTAGGTACACTTGAGATCTGAGAGAATAAATGGTGCCCTACAATTGTAAAGCATGATTCATGTGGGAAATGTGAAAGGAAACACGAGGGAGAAGAAACAAACACTCCGCATTGAGCTGAGTGATAATGGCAAATCCCACAAAACCAAAGGGAGAAAGGACTGACAGGAGGATTGACATCTTTTCTTGACAATCTTCTTTCCTTATCTTCACCCACCCAGGATTGGCCAAATACCCTTTCTCTCTAAACACAATGGCTGGGTCTCCAACCTAGCATGCAGTCTGACTAGACAGCATTTTTGGACTTTGAGGCAACTATGATGCCAGTAAAATGCTATCTAGGCATGCAGCTCAGTAGGCTTTAAGGAGGTGTTTGATCTACCCAGCAGTCCTTTCCCCTTTTACCCGCTTCTCTCATGCGTGCACACAAACACACAGATCTTGCTCCCGCATGACTCATTAGGAAATAACAGGAGAGCCGTTCTGCGAAACACACTCTCTCACATGCGGCCGCTACGGTCTCCTCCAGCACATCTTCTTGTCTTTATTGATCTATGTGTGTTCGAGTGATAATTTGCTAGTCTCTTCACATCCACTACAACATCCTCCATGTCTCTTTGTTCCCATTTACCGTGTGGTTGGGGTTGCCGGTCTGTATGCGCATTTCTGCCAGCACCCAAATGCCGTTGGTGAGTTTGACAGACTGGTACAGCATGTCCTGCCCCTCCACTGTTCTCTTGGCTATGGTGAAGATATTACTGCCTTGCAGCTTGTTGCTGGCCACGTCTGTGAGAGAGAAGTTACTCATTAACACAAAACAGACATACATAGCAGGTTTTCTGAAGACAAATTTAACCTGAGTGAGTCTCTATGGCAACTCTGTGGCAAATGCGTATTTTTACTTACACGCTGACATATGAACCATTCAGTAATTAGTCCGATTTAAAAGAAAGGTTAGCTCAAAAATTTTCAACTTCAAATTCTTCTATTTTTATTCTTCCATGAAACAAAAATCTTAAAGGGATAGTTCACCCAAAAATGAAAATTTGATGTTTATCTGCTTACCCCCAGGGCATCCAAGATGTAGGTGACTTTGTTTCTTCAGTAGAACACAAACAAAGATTTTTAACTAAAGCCGTTGCAGTCTGTCAGTCTTATAATGGAAGTGAATGGGAATCAGGTCTTTGAGAGTCAAAAAAACATACACAAACAAAACCAAATTAAACCCTGCGGCTCGTGACGATACATTGATGTGTAAAGACACGAAACGATCAGTCTGTGCAAGAAACTGAACAGTATTTATATCGATTTTTTTACCTCTGTAAAACACTGCAGTGCATCAGAGGTAAAAAGCGATATAAATACTGTTCAGTTTCTTGCACAGACTGATCGTTTCGTGTCTTTACACATCAATGTATCGTCACGAGCCGCAGGGTTTAATTTGGTTTTGTTTGTGTATGTCTATTTTTGACTCTCAAAGCCGTGATTCCCATTCACTTCCATTATAAGACTGACAGACTGCAACGGTTCGAGTTAAAAATCTTTGTTTCTGTTCTACTGAAGAAACAAAGTCACCTACATCTTGGATGCCCTGGGGGTAAGCAGATAAACATCAAATTTTCATTTTTGGGTGAACTATCCCTTTAAGTGGAAGATCTTAAGTGTCTAAGTTGCCTATTTTTTTCATAGAACAAAAGCATTGATCTGCACTTCAAAGAGTAAATTAAATGTTAATTTGATATCCACTTATTTAAACGTTACATGGCTTCACCAATTCACTAAAAAGAACCATCTCACAACATTATTTTGTGAATCAGATGTGACTAGTTGACTACTGTTGAAAAGTTTTAATTATTAAATGTTTTTTAAAGAAGTATTTTGATCAAATACATTTTATTCAGGATTCTTTTATGAATAGAAAGTTCAAAACAGAAAAAAAAAAAACTTACTGATGAGTAACACAAAGTTGAGTTGTTTCCTTTACAATCTACTGTATAATTTTGTGCTGCTCTGACTTTCTCATCATATTCATTTAATTGCAAGCTCAAATCTTTGCTAACATTAAAATATTTTGCTTTGAGACAGGAGATTTATATTTAACAATGCAGCAACACCTATATTAAATGCCAAGCCAAATGGAGAGAAGAGAGAAAGAGTCAAAAAAAAGCGCACTGAAGACACCCACAGTGCATTCATTAGCAATATCACAGAGTGTGTGTGCATGTTCATGCCAGTGTGATTCACAATTATTTTATGCAAACAGTCATGCGGAAGAGGATTATTCCCCAAAAACCTGCCTCGAGTTAATTACACCCAGACATTAGGCTTGCCGCGATAGACGGTGCTGACGGTGATACCGGTGTTAAGCCGCAACACCGGTTACATCACTTGCCCACTGCGTCACCGACCCCCACCATCGTTTTGATTTTTTATAGTAATAAAAATAATTTAGTTCAGTAAAAGAACAGACACCACAATTAAAAACTGAACACGGCTGCTCAATGCAACGTGCCGAACAACACACAGATCATATTTCATTTATCCAGTGAGGAGAGTGAGTCGAGCTGACTGACAAGAAGAGTGGGGTGAGACAGACAAGACGATCGCGGATGATTTAGTTTCGAAACGAAATGCAAAAGCACCTGTTTGGCAGTATTTTGGATTTTGAAAAGCCTGTTGACTTTTGCCGTTTATCTGATTTTGGAAGTTTTTTTAAACATTCGTTTCTTATTTAATTGGTTCCACATTGTTAGCTGATTTTTACTTTATTTAAACTTTATGTCATTTATTTATTTTATTTGACATTCGTTTTGCTAATAAACGTTCTACGTTTCTTATTTATTTGGTTATATATATTATACATGTTTACTTATTTCAAGTTTTGTATACCTATTTAACTTTATGTAAGTTATTTGTTATTTTATATTAGGCATAGCCTGCCCTATAGCATGGTGTATTTTTATTTGTTTTGTTAATAAAAGTTCTATGTTTTATATATAGGCTAAAGTGAGTTTGACGTTGTATTTTGTTGTTCAAAATCCGCCAATTCAAAAGTGAAAGTAAAATGCGCACAGTGCTTTTAAGCTATTCAAAAGAGAAGGAAAGCGAGGGAAAGAGGGAAAATTCAAACGAACTAAAAACCAAAGCTATTTAAAAGCGAGGAAAAGAGGGAACGCCCCCACGGTGATACTGGTATTACCGGTGTTGTCACACGTCGATTAACCGGTGGGAAAAATTTCCTCACCGTCACAACCCTACCAGACATGCCACCCGATCAGCACTCTTCAGAGACAGACCTCAACAGGACAGTGTGTTCTTTTAAAAGACAGAACGTGTGACAGTCAATATGATACAAAGCACTGATACAGAGTACAGCACTTCCCTCCATCCTATCTTTGCTTATTTGTTTCATTTCCTCCATTTCATTCATTCTCATCTTCCTCCACACACGTTACCCAATTCACTTATGCACAGCGCACATTTATTCCTGTTACCTGAGTTGAGGTGGATGTCTTTGATTTGGAACTGTGCCTCATTGTCATTTGGAATGTCCTTCCAGGTGGCCAGGAACACCTGACGTTCTGAGAAGCAGAGGGACAAAAGGATAAGGAAAAGGGAGTATTTTTTTTTTTTCGGACACAGTTACTGTGCATTTGTGTGATATCCTGCAGAGACTGAACTCCATTTAAGAGACTCCTGGGGGAAGCCATTTATGCACAAGCAGTCTCTCTCACACGCACACATGTCTCCACATAAACACCCATATCTTTTCTTACACACTCATTTGGACACAGATCTGGCACGTGTGCTCACACTGTCATGCACAAGTCATGAGTCAAAACTTAAAAACAATACCCAAACAAAACCTAAGAACACACACACACACAAAAATTAATGGATTGACGTCACAATCACCTGAAGCGCTTCTGCTTAAGTCTGAGGACACAGGCAGTGATTAAGGGTGCACACAAACACACTCACCCATCTTTCCGTCCTCTACAAAGAGCAGGCTGAGGGGATATTGGCAGCTGAAGTAGAACACGTCAATGTTATTCTTCACAGCAACCTGCAGCATCGACAAAGAGAGAGAGAGAAACACATTACGACTGTGATTTAAGACATTGTGGCTGTGGACAAGGCTCTCAAACCCTGTTAAGAGCAGACAGAATTCAGTTCATAAATTCAGCCAAAATAAATGAGCCTCTCTTTCTCCAGCACTTGACCAAAGAATGGCATACACACACACACACACACACACACCACAGAATAGTAAGGAAATATGGTCCTTTGATCATCTCTTTCTTTGACATTTTGCCTCTCTCTCTCTCTTCATTCTTTTGTTTAAAACCCTCTGTGGCTTTGCAAAGGTTGGGTTCAGCTCCTGCGCGCGAAGTTCATGTTTGCATGCCAGTATGTGAACTTCAAACATGCATGAATGCCTCAAAGGCAAACTCACTAAGAGGATAGAAGATGCCCAATGACAGTTCGAGAAAACAGAGCGAGTGTATCTGTCCAGGACAATCATACTCAAAAACACCTGTCCTAAAGAATCAGATATAAATATATTCTACGTGAGTGATTGTCTATATTATTGTTATTGTAAAATGTTACAAGTTGAGGTTTCTTGCCCTAATTGAATGAATTTTAAAGAAATACAAAAAGTCAGTCAAAAAAGTGCTTAACAACTCAGATTAAATACAACCAATCATTTCTTTGTTTTTCCATTTTGTGCATTAGTAAGTTTGCAGCTGAAAAAAAAAAACACACCAAACTTTCAACTGATTATGGCTGTAAATCTTCTGAGAGCATGAGGGATTGAAAGGCACCCAGGGGAGCTTTTATAAAAGCTGACAGCAGGTGCACAGCATCCATCAGAATAGAGACTACACAGCCTCAGAGAGGGACAGGCAGTCCCACATAGACATCCAGACCTGCTACACTCCACTTCTGAATAATTCATCCAGCAATACCGCTCTGAGCTGCACAAACCAGCTTCATCCCTCCCTCACTTGTCTAATTGTGGTTAGAAATACTATAGAACCATCAGGCAAAATAATATGAAGAAAACCCAATGTACTAATTAATGTGAAATCAGAAATCAAACTTTTCATTTTGTGGAATTGTCAGGAATTGAACCAAACATGACGTATTAGAATTGGTTTATCTTCTGTTCAGATTGATCTACAATATTATTAGCCTTGCAAATAATGACAATGAGTCCAGCTACAGAAAAATAAATAAATAATGCCATTCATTCAGTCTATGAGTAACATTCACTTCCTGTGATGCCACTGCAATGAATAACTGATCTATTATCGGCAGCCACGTGTGAAATTAATAATGCCACAAGCCTCTCTGGGAATGGAAGTAGTATCAGCTGTTGTAATCCATGCCTGCAAAGACTGGAAACTCATGGTAAGCCAAAGCACGTCCAGATCAAATACACGTGCTAAAGCTGTGAGCTACCTGATATCCAGACATATTGTTGTTACATCAGTCCTAGAAAAATGGAGATAAAAATTCATGTTGCCTCCTATGATTCACAGCGACAAATCCCATAATTATTATCATACAGCTCTCTTAAACCCCTGCTGATGACTTCAACGATAAGCAGAGCAGAAAGTGAAAGAGACACATTTATGATTAACCATTTAATGCCAGTCTAACATGTGCATCCTGAACACGACGCTCACTAATCTCTCTCCAGGAAAGCTCAACACACGCATTTAATTTGAAAATGGCATTAGATAAAGCCTGAAGGGCGCTATAAAATCTTCAGATTAAAACACTATCTTCTTTTAATCTCCTTTAGAGCTCTGAGAGAGAAGAAGAGAGATCCTATATTTTTGCATTTGCTTCACCCAACCAAAACAGTCCCTGAAGCGCAACACAATCTTTTCCTGGTTTAATTACTACCAATTAGTGATTGCACTGTTCCATAATGCCTATGCCTTCCTATTGTAGTCTGTGGGATTTGTGGTTTATTTCCCAGTGCAGTCATTGGAGAGCACTGTGAATGATTCCACTGAGAGAGATAATCAGGCACAGCTAATTCAGACCTATTGCTGTACTACTGCAGACCTACAACACTGATCAAAAGATGATAGAAATGGACATGCAGTGAGAGGAGGAGAAAGACAGAAAAGAGAGAGCATAACTCTTCTGAGAAGTTGCATCCCTTGGTAACCACCCACACTTAATGTCTATAGTACTGTCTTTGGAGTGGCTTTTTTGGGCTGCAGCCTTGCTAATAAATGCTCATCGGGGGCTTGCTTTATTGCTTAACAGCACAACACTCATTTCATACTGCACGTGAATTATGATGCTGCAGAAATGCGATGGATACATTACCTGCAGATTGTTGAGAGGTTCCATCTTCATGATAGGGCCGCTCATGCTGAGAGGGAGACTAACGTCAATGGTCTGATTGGGGCTCAGAGGAGTCAGAACCTGCAGAGGGCCAGCAGGGGAGAGACCGAAACTACAGAAAAACAGAGAAACACAGTTTAGACTAGAGATGCAACAAAAACTGACTTTTTTTTTTTTTTTTTTACAGAAACTGAAATTAAAGTTTAATTTAGCTAAAACTAATGCTACTGCAGTTAAATGTGGGTAATTTAATTTGCATACTTATTCGTATGTCATATTCACAGTTCTGCTGCAATGAGCCACATCTCAATATTTCAGCCAAACACATTTTACATACTCTAGCAACATTTTTGGTCATGGTAATATGTGACTGATGATATGTTTACTTACTGTAGCTAATATATGCTGTGCGCACGAAACATACACCGACACAGTCAAAATGTGCCATTAGAGCCATTTCGGGTCAATGATTTTGCCCTCCAAAACTATTTCGGCCAAATTATTTTGTTTGCATCACCAGTTAAGACCCGATCAATATTTGGCTCAGGATTTGAAATTTTGTTTTATTGTCTGCAATCTGTAAATTTGTTGCACATTTACAGGTAGAGGGACATTCTAGGAACAAGAACATCACAAAGACTTAGATGTGTGCACTTTTGACAGGGCAAGTAACCAACCACCCGGTCACCTTAACAAATCCATAGCAACACTCTGTCAACCACTCACAACAGCCTAGCATTGTGGCTTGAGATTTGTGTGAGAAAGCATCATTCTATAAATCTATACATACATAAGAATATGACCTTTTGTTGCCCTTGTATTAGTCAAAGATCTAAGTAGAATATATTACAACAATCTGCTTTACTATACAAGCAGTAATTTTCTAGAGAGAAGTCCTCAATTGACATGAACACATTTAAGTCTCTTTAGAATATCAGCATGTCCTTGAATGATCCCACTGACAAAATGCTATAAATGAATGGAACGCCTTCCAGGCAGGTCTCCAAACTGATTAACAATCAGAGAAGATACCACAGAGAGAAGAGCAAAACCTTGAAGAGACCTCCAAAACCGTCTCCCGTTCTAACCACTGGACTCACCTGTTCCTGTTGAACTGAATGGCGAAGTCAGTCATAACGCTCATGGCTTTGTTGGTAAGAGACAGATCCATCTGAATGATCCCACCGCGTCGGGCAAATGTCCCAGAAATCTCCAGCCCTTTAGCTTTCATTGCTGCTAACCACACCTGAACCCACAGATAAACAGGTTGAGAGTGTGGGGGAACGAAAGAGAGTTAAGCGGACACACACAGGACGTCTCAATGTTTCTGTACAAATGCATCAGATAGATGTTTTTGGCCCCTGCGTTGCACCTTGCTGTTTTTAAGCATATCATTCTATGAGAGTTGCATTTTAAAGCCTTTTTTAAGATTAAAAATGTGCTCTGCATTCTGTTGGACTCTGTTGAGCTGTTATTGAACACCACAGCACGTTTTATGTGCACACCCACTAAGAGTCCAGGAAACGCTGCCGCATTACAAATTGACTTAAAGCGGGGAAACTGCTTATAAAAGACTTCTGAAGTCATAACCAAAGTTATTGATTCAGAGTATTGATTGATTCTATACTTACAGTTTTAGGAGCAACGTAGGATCCTGTTGGCATGCCAACACCTCCACCGAGGTCAAAAAGGTCTCCCAATCCACCTCCAACAGCAGGAGCACTGCCGAGAGCAGCAGGCATGGCTGCTGGGCCCGCCCCCAAACCAGCACCCATCTGAGCAGAGGGAGACAAGTATTACAACCTATTACAACTTTTCTAGACTGCTACAAGACCGTCAGGAAAAAGACAAATTAACTAAGATAAAAGATGTGGAGGAGGAATTTAACAGCTCTTTGATTAATGAAGGCAAACCCCTCTGTTGATGCTAATACTCCTCCAATGAAGCACATTCATCAAAGTCTGGATGAACTTTGCTAAAAATCTTACCGAAGGGCTTCCGCCGATGTCTCCTCCCAGCTGGGAACAGAAAGGACAAAAAGTGAGTGTAAGGATCAGTAGGCAGGAAAGATGCGGATAATTATGAAGAGGTTGATGAAGGGGGAACTAGCTCAGTGGGTGGAAACAAGTCAATGAGCTGCTAAGGAAGTTGTGAGACATTCTATGGACAGTTTCTTTAATCTTTTTACTCTCAACTAGGGATGGGCAATATGAAATGTCAGTCAATAAAGGTTTTGTTTATATCGCAGCATGTAAACATATCTGCACAGCACAGGACTGCTTAAAGTTATTAAGATGTTAAAGTGATACAGAAAGATGTACATATGTGACCCAAGTTTGCATCCAGGGTCACGAGGTGCTTTCCCAGTCCCATCCCCAACACTTCTCCTCCGTCATTTCCTGTCTCATCCCTACTGTCTCCATCTAATAAAGCCAAAAAAGGCCATAAAATGTCTGTCTTGTTGAGTATCCACAAAAACACAGTCAGTTATGTCTTAAATGATTGTAAACCATTGGGAAAGAAATCAGATGTGTGTCAACATACTGGATCTTTATAATGAAGTTTTAGAGTGACAGCAGTCTAACATACCTGCTGCTGTCTATGCCCTTAAATAGCAAAGACAAAAGAGAGAATCACTCGCTGCTCTTGATTGAACAACTTTTGTAGCTTTAATAAAAATCTGTGTATATTTAATTCATACAGCGAAGACTATGCAGTGTTTTATTTTACATCGATTGCTCTTTTTTTTTTTTTTTATATTTCTTACTTAAATTCTAAATGCACCTGAAAAAAAAATATTGCATTTGTCTTGTTGTTTATATTTGCATACTTGTTCTTATTTTTAATAACAAAGCTAAAATAACATATACATATATATATAATTATTGGGACAATAAATGACTCATATCATGAAAACAAATGTAGTCATATCGCCCACCCCTACTTTCAACATATTAAACATTTTGTATGAGATGTGACTACTTGTGTGTGACTACAACTACCGCTACAAACTCAAACACTGAAACAAAAAGGAGGAAATGTGCTCTTATGATTCCTTCATACTGATCTGAGAGCAGTTTATGTTGGGCAACAGGGACTAGTCTAAGATCAGTACAGAGGAACATTTTAAGGATGAACTCAAAAGGTGAGAACACCCACACAGACCTCTCTCTCACTATAATCAGAAGATGGCTGGGGAGACTGCACCTCTGTCCTGTGGGAAACTCCCGGCTGATAGAGGAATGAGAAATGGATGAAATGTTTCCAATGGATGAAAGCAGAACAAATGAGGGGAATGAGGCTGGGGATTTCTAAAACTCTACAAACATTCATGAACTTTACAGTGACTAAAAATACTGACATAACTTCCGGAAAAATAACATGTGGTTGCATCAAGCACAGGACTGTTCATACGAGGTGTGTTATGACAAACACATATCTTGTAGATATTTTACTTATGTCGACACTAGTTATAAGTGGTTGTAAATAAAAATGTTGGGGCTGTAAATATACATGGCCTTCTGCTGGTGTGATGAGTACATCTGATACTCCTACTAACAGATCCGCAATTTATACTAATGAAATGGCATGATATGAAAGTGTCTGCTTCCTCTTTCACTTAGTTTAATTACCGTATCTGATTCATCGGCCATCTGCAAGTGTAGCATAAGGATAAAGGAGAGAGGAAAAAAAAAACAAGAGTCAAAAAAGAGAAAGAGAAGACCGGAGGGGAAATGCAGGCAAGGAAAGTTAACTGTAATTATGCAAGACCATCTGTGATTTCTCAACAGACACAATTACACTGGTTAAGAGAGTTTGGATTTGTTTAAGGAGGATCAGATCTGGGATTAGATGATCTCGATTTAGTAAAGTAGGTCTGGATCCTGCTGTTCAGGCCAAAGCTAACTCAAAATACATGTCCTACACCATGTGTGAGCTGAACAACTGACAAAGACATAACCAAAAGTCTTGCATGCCTCTGTATACGCACACACAGATTGTTAAAGGAACAGATGGGTATATTCATTCCAGTAATTACACTGTTTTTCCCTTTAAATTAATCTAATTTCACCACAAAGGGGTGATTATGTTTGTAGCAGAGCGAGAGGCGGCAGGAGATGAACATACCAGACTATCCAGACCTCCTCCCAGTAGGTCCATGGCTCTTGCTATTCTATATATAAAGTAATATAAGAAAATAATATAAACATAGACTCACGAGCCAGCGCGAGCAGAAATTCTCTTGTGCTGAACGCCACGGCTACCCTCCACAAAAGCACTGGGAGGTTTGTGGTAGACTGAGGCCAGAGTACCAATGTGGCAGATAAGCTCCTCCAGCAGGGTGGGCTCAATCAGGTCCGTCTCCTCTGATATCAGAGGCTTCTCGGCCAGCACCACCTCTTTTGCCGCCACAGGGTCAGTGGAGAGTAGACGCCAGTAGATGTAGCCACGGTCACGCAGGTCAGGATTATCAGAATCCTGCAGAGTTAAAGAGAGCAAAATACAGGGAAAATGAAATTGACCAATAGCGAACCTAATGGAACCATACACTGTTTATGATGTGAGAGGAAAGAAGAGAAAATGGTTCTTTCCACAAAACCTCATCTGAAGGACAGAGTCTTGTGTAAATAATGCAAAACTCCTTTGAGCACCAATTAATCTGTGTGATAAGATCAAGTGGTACACAGCAACACCCAGAGCAAAACAGCGGTGAGAGAATTAGATCTTGAGGCCATAAAATGGCACATGGGATAAAGGAGGACATTTGGTATTCTGACAGAACCCTGGCGGCGAGTACAGCCTGTGGCACTGAACCTCAAAGTTAATAATGACAAGATTCAATCTCAGATCCCAGTCTGACAGCACAAGCTCACGGCTTCTCTGAATATTAATCTCACACACATACCTGCTCTCTGGCTGATACACACACAAACATTAAACTAGTCTATATCATCAACATTTTCAAGTTGCAAAAGGTATGTAAAGACAAAGTAAACCATATGAATTAAGTGCTTTAATCCAAAAAAGTTTAACATTAAGGCTAAGTATTGACAGATTTCACAAATCGATTCAAATCTGATTCACAAAATCTTGATTCGATTTGGTTTATATTGGGATATATATGAAGTATGCATGTCGGTTTTTCTAAAGGAAAATCATTACTATAATAAAGATTAAAATGAACAACATATTCCAAATTAAATAGCTATTCATTTTTAGATATAATAAGTACTTAATATATTAAGTTTTTACACATCAACTTTTTAATTATAGGGCCTATAATTATGTTTCTACTCCAATTCATTGTTGAAATATAATAATTTAAACTGGCTGTTTTTATTCAAACATACAATCAATCCGAGACATCACTAACAGGTTAAGTTTTAATTTTTTAATTAAAATTAATTTTTTTCTAGTGGACAGTTGATCTATGGACATTGAATGGCTTTCCTGATTTAAATACAACGTTTCATGGTATATTGTTTACAAGCTGTTTGTTGACATCTTTCTGCAGTAGATTTTGTGATGAAAGTTTGAAAGCTGATACGTTCATATTAAAATAAACAAAGCACAAGGCTTATTGCAGTTATTGGATGGAGTCACACTACAAAACAATATTTAATAAAGCTTTGTTCACACTGCAGGGTATCAGAGTGAATCAGACAATTTAAGATTCGATCAGATTGGTGTTAAAACCACCCAAAGAGCCAAATTCCACAAAGAGGCCCAGGACAACAAGACAACGTCATAAATCTGTCCACGATACCCTAGCACCAGCCAGTCTGAAGCAAGCCTAACCAACCAACTCTTTCACAGAACAGCTTGCAGCATTAAAACAAAAGAACACATTGATAATCCCAACTCAGGAAGGAGATTGTCAATTTTGGGGCAAGAAACCCAAGATTAATGATTGAAGAGACAACATCATGACCATCACATGAGGGAAATCATTAGTAGAGACTTCGTTGGGTGGTTGCCCCCACCCATGACAAAAACCAGGCTCCTTCTAGACCTTTTGACCTTTTGTTTCTCACAAAGCACATCCTCACCTTCACAGAACGACAGAGAGACTGTCTTTTACAGATGTAGATGCACCAAAATGATGCTAAAAGGACTTATGAGCATGTCCTAATCACTCATTGTGTATGTCTTTTGAATAACCATTGAATAGTTTATAGGTTTATATTCATGTTGGGTGAATGTTCATGTTCATTAAAATAGAGATTGATTAAAATTATTTAATCATTATTGTCAAACATGTCTCATTTGTCAAGCAAGCACGTCTGTGCTGCATCCATCTGAAATTAATGGATTAGCAGCACTGTCTTTAACTGGAAAAAAAGAATAAGGTGCCCTTATTCTGCGACACTGTGGCTTAAAAAGCTTATTCTGATGATGTAAAAAAAACTGTTAACAGCAATTAAATTCCTAACTGGCACAGAGCAAGGTATACTAGCATTAACAAACATATACATGTTTAATAAATATAAACCTGTTGTTTTGAAATGGTACAAGGTTTCAAAACTCTGGCCAACAAAATCTAACCCAAATGGTGGTTTACTATTTACATTGCATTATGCCACAAATATGTACATATGAATGTATATAATATATTAAAGCAGAGCAGGTCATGTAGTTTAACAGAGGCACAGGAGCAGGACACTAATCCCTCTGCTGATGCTTTTATAATCATCATCTTTGTTTCCTGTGCACTTGACATTCATTTGAGACATGTTTAATAATTAGAAGTCTTCCATTTTGTGGTTTGTTTATCCTCTTATTGTCTGCCTGCAGTTTCAAAAAGCAATTACAGAATTTTGTTAAAAAGAATAAATGTATCAGGGTGCTGAGTAACAGTTTTTTTGAATATCTTGTTTTCTTCAGAGTGAGTCAGAAAGCCAAACGGCCTTGCTTTAGAGATCTGCCATTTGAGAATGGCAACACCTAGAGGGTGTCCTTGAAGGTGTGAGCAAGTATATGTGCAGAGTCATTTTCTCACTGAAACGTGTGCTTTGATAAGCGCTCATGTGGATATCTCACCTGTGTGGCGAGACTGAGCACTTGTTGCACCAGCTCCTGGGTCTCAGTGGGTTTCTTCAGGAACAACTTCACAATAGCTGTCCATGAGGGAAATCATTAGTAGAGACTTCGTTGGGTGGTTGCCCCCACCCATGACAAAAACCAGGCTCCTTCTAGACCTTTTGACCTTTTGTTTCTCACAAAGCACATCCTCACCTTCACAGAACGACAGAGAGACTGTCTTTTACAGATGTAGATGCACCAAAATGATGCTAAAAGGACTTATGAGCATGTCCTAATCACTCATTGTGTATGTCTTTTGAATAACCATTGAATAGTTTATAGGTTTATATTCATGTTGGGTGAATGTTCATGTTCATTAAAATAGAGATTGATTAAAATTATTTAATCATTATTGTCAAACATGTCTCATTTGTCAAGCAAGCACGTCTGTGCTGCATCCATCTGAAATTAATGGATTAGCAGCACTGTCTTTAACTGGAAAAAAAGAATAAGGTGCCCTTATTCTGCGACACTGTGGCTTAAAAAGCTTATTCTGATGATGTAAAAAAAACTGTTAACAGCAATTAAATTCCTAACTGGCACAGAGCAAGGTATACTAGCATTAACAAACATATACATGTTTAATAAATATAAACCTGTTGTTTTGAAATGGTACAAGGTTTCAAAACTCTGGCCAACAAAATCTAACCCAAATGGTGGTTTACTATTTACATTGCATTATGCCACAAATATGTACATATGAATGTATATAATATATTAAAGCAGAGCAGGTCATGTAGTTTAACAGAGGCACAGGAGCAGGACACTAATCCCTCTGCTGATGCTTTTATAATCATCATCTTTGTTTCCTGTGCACTTGACATTCATTTGAGACATGTTTAATAATTAGAAGTCTTCCATTTTGTGGTTTGTTTATCCTCTTATTGTCTGCCTGCAGTTTCAAAAAGCAATTACAGAATTTTGTTAAAAAGAATAAATGTATCAGGGTGCTGAGTAACAGTTTTTTTGAATATCTTGTTTTCTTCAGAGTGAGTCAGAAAGCCAAACGGCCTTGCTTTAGAGATCTGCCATTTGAGAATGGCAACACCTAGAGGGTGTCCTTGAAGGTGTGAGCAAGTATATGTGCAGAGTCATTTTCTCACTGAAACGTGTGCTTTGATAAGCGCTCATGTGGATATCTCACCTGTGTGGCGAGACTGAGCACTTGTTGCACCAGCTCCTGGGTCTCAGTGGGTTTCTTCAGGAACAACTTCACAATAGCTGTCAGCAACTGCAGTTGCACCTGAATGCAACTGCAGACTGCAGTTGCACCTGAAAGAGAAGCATGAAAAACATTAACACAGGGACAAATCCTGTAACACGATTTTCCAAGAGACAAGTTCATGCAAGTTCATTACAGTATTCACTAGGGTAGTATGGTATTATTGTTATGATACCAAAATTTCAGTAGTCATTACTAGTGTTGTGTTCGATACATCGATACGATGACGTATCGTCACAGAGATTTGATGATATGAGCTGTCCCTGTATCGATATTGTGGCACGTGTGCAGCAGTGGACCGCGCTTAATTTGAATACAACAACAACGTTTAAAATTGAGTAGAAAAGTGCGAGGTTTCTAAAAAAATAATGAATAGAGCATAATATATAGGTTACAACAAGGTTTAATCTGGCCGCAGTGGAACACAACCAGGTTGCCAGATATAAAGAGACATAATCCCCGAAACAGAGCTTCACACTTGCGCAATACGGAAATATCTGCTAAATGTGTTACTTATCTTTGTCAACCTGACAACCATGTGCACACGCGCTCTCTCCGCTGTGGATAAACGCGCTTGCTTTCTGAAAACACCGGTAAGCTTGCAGTTTAGCGATCTCCACTTCAATATTCTATTCTCAGAAAAGTGTAATTCATCAAGTTTGTTCCTGAATGTCTGAGTGCGGCTGCAACGTGATCTGTGTGAGTGACTGAGCGTGTGTGTGCGTTAGATACAGTGAAGACAGTGCATTAGTTTAGAACTCATCTAATTTTTATTTTTATTTTTTAAACGTAGAGAGTGTGTTAATTTGTGCAATGATAACCTACCAGCAATGTAAATATGATTTTTTTAATATATTAGAATGAGTACATTACAATATAAATTTATTAGAACGAGTACATTATTATTTATGGGCTTAAAAACAAGATGCAAACAATCAGAATATTGTAACTGGTGGGGAGTGCCCAGTGTAAACATGAAACATATGCCATTACCTACATTGTACTGTGGTACAGTTATGGAGGCCCTTCATAATAATGCAGAGGTCAACTGCCTGCTCTGCCAATAGTTAGAAATGGCACTATACTATGCAGTGTTTAATAAACAGCTGTTTTACTAAATTCTGCTGAGGTGAAATTCAGTGCAGTCATGTATCGTGATACGTATCATGGCATCTGTATCGTGATACGTATCGTATCGTGACTTTGCTGGTGATACACAGCCCTAGTCATTACCACTACCAGTGAAAGAGACCAATTTCGATACCACAGCAAAAAGTCATCCTATTACACGGTTGTAGTTTTTCTTCATGCACATTGAAGCAAAGTAACACACTGCATGCATATCACAAGTCTGCTGTACTTATTACAGCATATTTAATAAAGCAATTTGAAAGGCACTTCACCTGTGTGCTCTCATCATGGAAGCCTTCCAGGAAGCTCTCCAGTAGCTCATCTGCATTGTCGATCCTTTCTGCGTACTCTCCCACAATCCAGATCATGGCTGCGCGTGCCTCAGGCTCATCCAGAGAGTCCAGGTTCTCACACAGAGTGGCAATCACACTCTCATATCTGACAATACATTCAAGAAAAAAGCAACAATGAAGCAGCAAAATGACAGTGTGGTGGGGGGGTGTTCAGTGAATCTTTATTGAATTTTTCAACACATTTTACTATGAAAGGCATGACTGAACAGAGACTGTGTCAGGACAATGAACCTCTAACACCTGGATAATGAACCTTAGCCAAACAGAAATAGGATGCAGTTTAGAGAGAGAAAGAGAGAAACAGCTTTAGTGACAAAGAGGTCAGGGACAAGGGAAATTGAAAAACCTACTTGTTGGGGTACTTGCGGAAGATGTCCTTGATGACCACAATGGCTTCCTGCACCACATAATTGACCTTGGTCTGAATGAGGTCAAGCAGTGTGCTGACACAACGCTCTGCTGATTGCTGTAACAAAGACAGGAGGGACAGAAAAACAGATAAGCTAATCTGCTAAACCATAAATGGTATCATCAGTTAACCAAAGAAGCAGTTGGCTTTGGTTTCACATCAGGCTGAATCCTTTCATTAGGAGTGGTGAACTTTACAATTAAAATTAACACTCATTAGACTGTCAGTGTTAATTAAGTTAATAATAATGCTATCCTAATCAGGGTCAGGCCTGCTCACCTCTACTTTAATTGCACAGCGGCCAATGGCTCGTACAGCTTTACGCACAAAGTCCACGTCCACTTCAGTGGCATATTCCTTAAGCTCAGCCAGCACCTACACCACCCAAACACACAGAAATTTAACACAGACTCTCATAAGCATACATTTCAAATGTTCATGTGATAAACAGTGGGGTCCAAAAGTGAGTGATGGGAACATATGGGATTGAAAAGAGATCTAAACGTGGAAATAACAATTTTGGGATTAAAAAAAAAAAAAAAAAAAAAAAAAAGGAAAAACACAGCAAAAGGAAAAACAATAAAAACTACACAAACAACAACAATAAAAATTATGAAGGATATTATAAAACGCAAGTAGTAGTAGTAATAATATTTAGGTTTATTGCCATTTCAGCTTCATAGACACAGATTTAAAATTCAATAAACGAAACAATTAAATAACGATAAAAAGGCTAGAAAAAATAAGAAAGGCTAAACAAATTTGTAAGTACATATAAGACATAATTTAATTATTTAATTATATTCCCTCTGTCATGACAAAAATCATTGTCTCATGACATTAAAAATTGGGCAGACCATAAATATACATTACTGCTGTCATTAATGCAAAAGAGGAAAAAACAAATACTTAGACATAGTGAAAATCATGTTGATTTGTTATTTACAATTTCTTTCTTTTTTACAAAAATGCAAAACAGATGTATTTTCACTAGTAGTCTTAGACTTTTGGACCCCACTGTTTTCTGGGTGGAGTCACAGAAAAATGTATGAACATAGATGATCAGGCAGAGATCATGTTTTACATTAGTGAAGTGTGGTGGTGTGGGTGCAGTTTCATTCACCTGAGCAATGTTGGCCTGAGATGCCAGGCGGATCATGATATCCAGCTTCTCCAGCTTGACATAGATTGGGTCATTATATTTCACAAAGAAAACCTTCATCTCATGTTTTAGAATTTCAGGGCTGGTAGAAACATAAAAGAAAAAGAAAAAAAGAGAAATATATAATAAAGTTGATTTACAATATAGACTAATTATTTGTGCATTAACTTACTTTTGAAATACCCAAACCATCATCACTAGTGGTTAGGGCTAGGTATCGTTCAAAAATGTTCGATATCGATACCGATACCTTGACTTCGATACCGGTTCCTGAACGATACGTTTTTCGATACCAATTTGATGAAATAAATTTTAACAAGATTACATTATCTAAAAAAAAAAAAAAAAAATTTGGTTTTATTTTTAAGCTTGATGTTTATACAATCTCAAAGACTCATCTCCTGAGCCACTGCACAAAGGAACAAAGTGTAACCAACA